ATGGGTGTCCATAGGTACTTGACCCGGTTAGAGACGATTAAAGGGACGGACGAAAACCCACCTCGTCCTTGCTTAGTTCATCCTTTTTTACAAAAAACTGTCCCGAAAATGTCATGTCATGTCATGCCATGTCATGTCAACTTTATTGTCAGTTGTGCTTCCTGTGCAACATACAGCACAGATGAAATTCTTTCCTCAGGAGAGAGAGGAGGCACTGCGGGTGCCCGCGCCGCCATCAAAAGAACAGTTAACATAAAATGACAAAATAATACAACACAACACAACACATAAGACACAGACAGTCGTGCAATCTTAGCCACTCTTCCTGCATACACTTTGTTGTTTGAAGCAGTTATCGATGAAAGAAGAGTGAATCAAAGTGTCCTATCACCAGTGGATCAAAGACGTCATGCTGAAAATGTGCACGTCTGCTACAAGCTAAGTTTGAAAGCAACAAGAAGCTGTAGCGCTGTGAAAAATGCTGCCCATTTCAGGCACAAAAAACACAAGCGCCCCGGGGGCTGTCCAGCACCGGCAGTCAAATGGCGCCGACATTCCTCCCAATCAAAAGCAGTGCTGGTATACCCATGATGCCGAGAAGGCGCAACCACCAAGCACAGATTCTTCTCCTTTGACGAATGTCGTGGCCAAAAAAAAATGCTGAAAGCAATCCACAGCAGGTCCACACGACGTAACAACAAACACAATGTGACAAAACAAAACACAAAAACCACAAAAAAAGAACAACAAAAGCAAGGCTCTTGAAGAGCACTTGCCGACGGCAAGCGGGTGTCCTTCTGGGACTCACAGACAGATCGTTCCGTTCCAGGGACAGAATGACGTTAATATGCATAGATATGTGATTATGTATTTTAATACAACTGAGTATAGTGATCCCTTGCCACTTTGCGCGACAGATTTAGGTGCTTCAGTGATTTTTTTTTTCAAAAATAATAATAATAATTTTAAAAAATTAAAAATATCGCCATATTGCCATTCATGTTGCGGAAAGACACATTGTTTTATACTGATGTGCAAGAGGTTTCCCTGCATGCCGACAAAGAGCTGACAAGACTCAAAGACTTTGTACGTGCCTGTACTGTACATGCCCACTCAAACAAAGCATGTGATTCATTCCCAATGCTACATCGACCAATGAGAGCACAAGCGGATTTATCCAGTTAGCTGATTGGCTGCGCATCATCGCCAGTCTGTTTACTGTCTCGCACACAGTCTTCGTATTGTGTTCGTGATAACTTTTTTTGTTGAAGCAATACAGTGAAATTCCTCCACAACAAAACCTACAGAGGCGAAAATACCCCTCGTGTGAAAAAATCATGCATTAAAACCATTCCCACTTTTCTGCTCCCCCGCCAACGAAAAATCCCCGTTGGCGTAATACGAAATCTTTTTCTCTGCCTTTGCCTCGCAACGAGATTCACTACAATGAAAACAAGCCTTCCGCAAAAGTCTAATCCAACCTCAGCCTCCAGCGACTCCTACTGCTTCGCTCCGAAACTGCAACAGCAACCACCACACTGGTTTACCCATGCGCAATCGTCCAGGAAGAACAGTATTTGTTATTGTTAGTTTCAGACGCAGCACGAGCGTTGCATTGCTAAAATGGCTACACAAACGGACTTTTGCAGATCAAGGAGTGAAGAACACAGAAAAGCTTTAACGCTTGAAGACAGGATCAAAGTAATAAAAATGAAAGATGCAGGAAGCAAAGTAAAAGACGTTATGCAAGAAATGTAAGTGAAAGTGAATACTCGTAAATTTCGCAATTTCTTTCCCTTTTTTTCTTTCTACGCTGGCTATATGAACTGTCAAATAAGTGTATGCTCATTGTGTCATATAAGTGTATGCTCATACTTATGCACCATTGGAATAAAAATAGAGTACACATGCGTGTGTGTGTGTGTGTGTGTGTGTGTGTGTGTTTACATCTGAGATAAATTTGCTATAGTGAATAGTCCACTCTTGTGAAAAATGTCTTGCTGCAAACATGATTTCGTTGTAGAGGAGTTTCACTGTAAACCTTTTTTGATTAGTAAAACTGTGCTCCAACCCCTTGCCGCCGTCGAAGCAATACGTGGGAGATGTGTGAGCCCGCTTGTTGGAGATGGCACCATCAACAAGGACAGTTTGCTTCTATGACGGGGGGCAGTTTTGCAGCCTTGACTGGGTCGGGCAGCCTTATTTTGAAGGTTTCCCGACCAAGTCAGCTGTGTTTTAGAGATGTCAGAAGGAAACAGTGACAGCCGAAACTCTCAGCTCGGGAAGAGTTTTTTTTCTTCACTAAAAAAGATCATTTGATAAAAAAAGAAACCTGAACCCTATTTCAACTAAGAAGACAAGATGAACGTCATAGAGCAACCCATCACCGTGTTTTTCTCCAATTTAAACACCTCAGTTACACCGACAGCGCCTCCAACAGAAGAGTCTCAGAGTGAACCTAAAGCCGAGGAGTCAAGTGAGAGCCGCCTTCTACGCTACCAACACAAGCCTCTTCGCTTCTCTCAGAAGGCAACGTTGATGAATTTTAATTACTGTATAAGATTTTATTATGAAAGATTTAAATGTCTCCTGTTATATTTGTCTTAAATATGTAAAGTATTAACACCGTTTACATATTTTAAACATGCTGGTACCGACACACACGAAAATTCCGAGGCCAAATCCTACCTCACGGTTTTCACCTTTTGTGAGTGGTTTCTGGTCCCCATTTAACACGAAAAGCAAGGGATTACTGGACTTTTTCCCCCCAGGTTTTAATTTCCTACAACAACACATACCAGAGCTACACGATGGCATCTTATAATAATACAATTTACTGTTTTGTAAAAATATATTAAGTTCATATTTATCACAATCTAGTTGCATGGCCTGTTAAAAAATAGTAATTGCCAAACTCATCAAGTAGCTGAGCACAATCCTCTTGGTGTCCACTTTTTTTTTTTAGCACCACGGACCGCAAGGACATATTTTGATGGAAATTCCAGTCGCGTTTGGCCCTTAAGCCTGTGACGAAGGTAGTTGTTTAGCGCCGGAGCCAGTTTTGTCAAGCCAGCCACCACAACAATTCTTGATACGCTACACAACGCACCACTTCAAAAAAAAAGTGAACCAAATAGGACTGTACATGGATATCAATGCCTGACTTAGCTTATGTGGTTTTATTATCTGGTCCTTCTCCAAACCTGAGATGAATTCTTGCTTAGAAAAGGAGAAAAGCGCCTATTACATTTTTAAACTATGAAGGTTTCACCCATATACAGTAATTCTGACATGGACAGTGACTGCTGAACTACTGATATTCAGGAAATGTGTGATATGAAAAGGTTCCATTCGATCTTGATGTGGAAATGTGTTTATGAGACATTGTGCAAAGGACAAGAGCAACAATGCACACCAACTGCACTTGCATTTTGGTATCTCTTTATGTACAGGTAGAATCACAACTGCATAAACTCGACTTTTTTCTCTTTTTCTTAGGCATAAAAACATGTTGAAGTTTTAAAATAGGAGAAAAATGGAAATAAAAGTGACAATAAAATTAAGGCATTAGGCACCCTTTTGCCCAGATTTCAACAACCATTTCGAAACAACTGAAACACTGACCAACTGCAACATCATGAGCACGTGTACAATTGAATAAAATCCAGAAGTAAATATCGTGTCATATTTTGACGCAGCCAAAATAATATAAACAGTCCTCAAAATAATGCAAGTGCACTTGTACATCACTACAAACTCCAAACCCAACAACATGTTTGTTCTTGTTCTTGTCTGACAGTCTGTCATGGTGGATGTTTGTGACCAACAGGTGGCACTGTAGGGCTTCTCCTACAGCAGCACACCTTTTGGTCTTTATGTCATTAGTCGTTTTCTGTTAGAAGGACTCCCTGCCCGTCCACTCAGGGTCGTGTCAGTGTTTTTGTTTGTATTGCTTTCACCTTTTTTTTTGCTTCTGCTGTGGGTTTTTGTTTGTTACTTTGGGTTCTTGTTTTGTGGACTTTGGTTGTTTTGGATTTCAGTTAGACTTTCATTAATACATTTTGTGAAGTCCACCCTGCTCACGTTTCATGACAAAGTCAAAACTGAACATTATTACTTCGTAAGGGCAGATTTTATCATTCGGATGATTTGGACAAAAAATGGTCAGAATGTTGTGGTTGGTCAATACAACCCCCTAAACGGGGACAGAACAGTTGCAATAATTAATATGAATTAAAATGTGTAACACATTAAAAAAAAAAAAAAAATTAAACGGTGGAAGCCAAGGCATGAAAGATGAAACCCAAAGAAAAAAAAAATAGATATCATGATTTGTTTTCAATGATGTTATGTTTCAAATCTGGCTGTGAGGCAGGCCGCTGATGCACTTAGTAAATTATTTGGCAAAGGTTACGTTTCAGTCTTAACCCCATTTTCAAGAAGGGGGTTAAAATTAGCACGGGTAAAAGTATGTCATCAGAAAAAAATTGTCCCTTGTTGATAGATGGTTTGAAAGAGGGGTGAGGGAAACCATCTCCAGTACATCAATGTTCAGAAACGGTTGAAACTGAGGAGGGGCCTGACAATAGCACGCGTCTCCCACATCCCTTCTGAAGGTATTCAATTATTTAACCTCTATCAAATTAGAGACGGCCACTTTTCACCATGAGCTGCATCTCTGTTCATTCCGACAAACGTCAACTTCGGGGCTTGTATATTACTGGGGTTACAAGTAATACATACAAGAGTGTATGTCCACAACCATAACTGTATCATGCCAGGAACTATGTGACATATAGCCAGTGTCGCACCGCAAGTAGCTACATTCTGATGTGGGTGAAAAAATACGGACTGAGAGAACTTGAAGAGTGAAATGGTTCGTGGACCCCAACCAGTGTCAGGTTTTGGGTGAGGTCAAATATCGGATTTATTTGTTTCCTCTTGAGGTGTCTTCATTTTAGTTTGAACACTTCCAAAGAGATGGCACGTCGATCCATCGATTCACTTGCTACTGCTTATCCTGTTCAACGTTTCAGGGAGCTGGCGCCGGTCCCAGCTGACATTCTGAAGTGATTGCCAGTCAATCATTCACACTCACTATTACACGGTTATTGCGCGGGAATCGATCCCACGGTCAGATGTGAAAACTAAGACACTATCAGTGATGATAGGCATGCCTGTTTTTCTCAGGGCCAGTTCATGGAGTAATTCCACACGAGACCAGAGAATGAATTCACAATGGGTCTGGTACATCCGTGCTGTGTGGCTTTAGCTCTGTTGTTGGTCCTGGCTCTTTATCACACTCAGTTGATTTCTGAGGCCCTGACAGTAGGCAGAAAGGCTGCTGTTGTCCTCCAGCAGCTTGCTGTGCTCCTGCATGACTCGAGATGAGGTCTGGTGCTCTCTCTGGCCCTCCTCCAACTCTGAAAACAACTCCTGCCTAGATAGAAAGCAATACAGTGTCTTGTTACTTGGACTTCATGTTTCAACTCATTTTCAAAAAATCTTCAGGACCAGATGCAATCAAACATTATTACTTACCCTAAAATTCCCCCCAAAAAAGTGTTGAAATATGTACTGCTGTGTGTTAAGGTTAGGGTTCACTGACTAAATATGTGCTTGCACGCCTTCATCTTTTGTTCAGAATCAGCTTCTGATCACGGTAACTGACACGACTTCCTTCTCATTTATGGCTGAACTCTTACAGCTTTGATGAGGAAGCGTAGAGTGGGTTGTTCCACTGCCGCGCAAAAGTGGATGGGCATTAGATAAATGCTTGGTTTGACCCTTGAATTGACTCAATTAGTGGTGGTGTTTTAAACAGTGGTCCTCATCATGCTGCTCACATGTTGACATCATGAGACAAAGGCGACACTCAACAATGGATCAAGAGTACCTTGCCATTGTGATGATTCAAACAGGACATTCTCAAAGTGGCCAGTGAGCTTAGCATGTCACAGAGTGTCATCAGCAGGTTGGAACAGAAATACAGAGAAACCGGAAGAGTCACAGAAAGATGTCGAAGTGGACATCCCATGCCGATGACCGCATCAATCTGCCCTGAGAGATGCCCGGATGATGAATGCCACTCAACTCCAGGCACGTTTAAGGGAGGCGAGAGGCACCCAAGTGTCACGTCAGACCATCCGAAACCGTTTACATCGGCGCGGTCTTCACGCTAGACGACCTGCATGGCTACCTGACCACACCAATGGCCACAGGTGTCATCGTCAGAGAGCATTTACGCCTGATGAGGGTCCAGTGGGCCTCAGTGCCTTTTCTGATGAAAATCGCTTCACGTTGAGCAGAAATGATGGCCGCCAACGATGTTGGAGATAGCAACGAAAGTGCTATGCATAATCCACTGTTGTCGCCAGATGAGCTTTGGGTGGTGGCGGTGTTGCAGTGTGGGCAGGTGTGTCCAGTCGGGACAGAATTGCCCTACACTTTGTGAATGGAACAGTGACAAGCCCATACCACCTGAATAACATTATTTATTAATTCAGTGAATGTGCCCCTGCATGAACAACACGGGCCTCATTTCATCTTCATGGACGACAATACTCCAGCTCATCGAGGTCACATCAGGGGAATATGCCTGTTGGGAGACTGGTGTACCTCAAATGGGATGGCCTGCACTTTCTCCAGACCTCAATCCTCTTGAAAACCGGTGAGATCAGCACCCCACAACCTCAATGACCTGAGTGCTGCCCTTCAAGAAGAGTGGGATGCCATGACTCAGCAGAAAATAAGTCGACTTGTGAACAGCATGAGACGTCGTTGTCAAGTTGTCATTGATGCTGAGGGCACACGACGAGTGACCTGAGGGCTGCCCTTCAAGAAGAGTGGGATGCCATGACTCAGCAGACAATAAGTCGACTTGTGAACAGCATGAGACGTCGTTGTCAAGTTGTCATTGATGCTGAGGGCACACAACGAGTTATTGAGATGTTCTTTTTTTTTTTTTTTTTTTTTTGTGGTGTACCCACCATTGTTCTTACCTTTTGTTTCAATGAATTGTTTGAGATGAGGAAATTACCAAGGCATCCTTCTACGTAAATGTGCTGCTAACATATCACTGTAACGTAAACTTTTTACTTTAACCATAGATTTCACCTGAAAGCCAAATATCTCTAACTTTTTATGAGGAAAAAAAAATTATAT